GTAAACACAAATTCAGCCTGGAAATTGAATGTTTTTCTGGGACGCCAACCTTCAGTGTGAGAAATCGTCTCTAAATCCATCCTGCCTTTCTTGATTAGACGCTTGTGGGACATTGACAGCTGGTTTGACAGCCCAGAAATGGAAACACAAAGCGCGTCGGCTTTTAAAGACATGAAGCCATTGCACTGGTGAAAAGAAATGTAGATATTGGTATTAGTAAAAAAAATGAATACATTAAATTGTAAACAGCTTGGGCTGATTTGACTATTTAGGTGTTAATTCTCTAGACAGGGCCTTGCAAAAGGCACAGTAGATTCACAGTAAATTGACTAACCTGTTTTGCTGTCCCAAAACTCATCAGTCGGGCTTGTGTGATGAGTGTCATCAGAAGGAAATTGCCAAATAATCAACACATCATCTGCTGGCTAATGACAAATTATGCCCATAATGAGGAAGCATTTGTGGACCATTCTCTAGTTAATGTGTAGTGGCGCGAAGTTTCATAGTTCAGCTCGGTGTCACTGCAAGACATCTGGGTCCCCTGGAGAGGGGTGAGCCACAGTAAAATCTGAGCAACACTTAGCACACACATGCCAGAGAGTTTTATAAAATTCAGAACAAGGCGAAGCGTGCAAGTAGAGTACACAGTGCAGTTCCCGAAGAGAATGCTCAGAAAGACAACACGGGTTGCTCAGTTTGTCGGAAATGGCCCAGCTCGCTTGAGAATCTCATTGGGTTGCACACTAGTGATCATAGTCTGGGCTTGAGCCTCCAGCTCTGTTGGAATGGTCCTTCGGTCCCACAGTGCCCTGGGGGTATTTGTGTGCTTGGTGTTCTTAAAAACCTGTCCCCATGAGCCTTTGTCATAATGTCACAAGGGAACAGCTGGTTGTCCTGCTGCGGAACAGGTCTGAAACGGCCACAAATGGAACAGCTCTACTTCCGGTCCTGAAGCAGGGGCAAAGTCTTCCTCATCTGTTATTCCCTTGATAGTTTCTCGTTGTATCGGCTTGCATGTTTCTGCTGCAATGGCATTGACAGGAGACTCCCCACATCCCTTGGATTAGCAGTGCAGTCCAGCAGGCCGGGGAGGGACTCCACCTGCAGATTGTTCTCATGGCCGGTAGCCTCTTCATGTTCCTTATCCCTGCTTCTGCCCGTTTCGCTAGTGCGCCATCTAATTCACTCAGATTACACGGCTCGTTCTGCTTTGCGTTATAGAGTAGTGTGAGGTAGCCTTTAGGCACGGTGATAAGAGAATGGTGAAGGGACAGTTTTTTTTTTCTGGCCATGTGTCATTTTATCAAAGAGTACCCAGGACTGCTGTGAAAAGTAGCGGCAGTCATTTCTTTTTCAGTGTACAGTAAGTGTCAGACACTCGTACGGTCGAGCGTGTGACGGCCCTTCTCGGCTATAAAGTTAAAGGTGCCTCTCCTCTCAGAAGACAGACAAGAACTGCCACAGGTGTGATACCTGAATGAATTTCGGAGCACTTTAATCCGGGATTGATGAAGGATAAAAAGACCTAAACCTCCGTTCTTTAGTGTGATGGATGTTCATGACCTACAGGGTCTCAGAAGAAAAATAATTAGCTTCCCTTTTTACTGCGGGACCTACTGTCAAACATGACCTTCTTTCTGGTTTTGATCAGCTCTTTCAAGTTTACGTTTTGTCAGCTGATTTTGCGTTGTGCTTGAGAAATAAACTTTATGGGCGTTTCCACATAGAACTCACTTTGCAATGATTTGAGCTTAAGAAAAGAGCAAAGTATTCGGTGATTACAAATTGAAGACAAAAACGTAATAGTAATGTGTGTTGTTATCAGTAATGTTTTTTGTTGGTTTCTATACTGGGCAAGTTCCATCAATTCTCATTCCCACCCATACTGTGAATGAAATGTGCTGAACTCTTGGAACTTCTGCATTTACACTGATTCAGCTAGCACATGTTCAGGAGCACATGTAGTAACTGTATAGTTACCTTATTATCTCCTAGTGGCTTTTAGCTGGGTTTTTAAAGAATTTAGAAATGATCTGTAGTAGGTCACAGTAGTAGCTCCTGACATACAAACTCCTATCGCTTTTCTTATTTTTCTGCTGTACACGAGGTCCTTGCTACACCTGTTCATAGAGACCTTCTGGAGGAATTATTTGCCCTGTTGGCTAAATGTTCAAGTTCAACTACCCTGGGCCCCTTGGGTTACAGCAGCTGCTGGTGTGTCATGATTTTGATCGAGTTTGATGCACAATAGTGGAAACACTCTGGCAGAACAGCCTGTTCAAGGAATCCCTCCTGATTGGTGTCACAGAGGAAGGTGAACACTGCCTCGTCTGCCTCTCTGCAGGCTGCTTCTGAGCCTCAGGTTTTCTGGGTTCCCCATCTCTGTGTCTTCTGGATATCGCGGAGCTGACCCGTGCAGGATTATCCCAAAGGTTTTTCTCTGCATGCAGCTCTGATCCTGAGGCAGGGGGATTCTAACCAAATAACCTGTTCCAGATTGTCCCTGCTGTCTAGGTGCTGCTCTCCTCTCACTGGGTCTCGGCGAGTTGTCACAGTGGGATTCTCTTTTACCCCCGATGTTGGCCCCTGTCCTGTGATGGCAGTGAAAATAAAATGAAAAACTATCAAAAAATATTGCAGCATTACATCAATTTGATGATAGCACTGTAACTGTTCACTGTTCACTTTTTTTTTCTTTAATCATCTGCATTAAGTAACATTCTGTTGCTTGCGTGTGCAAGACCTCAGACAGACTGGCATCCCATCTCAGTTGCCATGACGTTTGCCAGGAATGTGCCACGTTCTGATGCTGGTTGGATGGATGGAAGGATTTCACTGTGTAGAGGGTCAGTGTGAATCAACCAGGAAGGCATCAGTTATTGCCGATTTTATCAGAACGATACCCTCATATCAGAAGACAGTCTCATAGCAACAGTATCTATGGATACATTTGTTCTGATAATGTGCTTCCTGGTTCTGCACATCTACTCAATACTAACAAAACTTGCTTAACAAAACTAGCTTCATAATGAATGCATTTATTGTTGCAAATTCATTGCATTATTCAGCAGCCATTGAGCACCAGTAGCCCCACTGCACTGCTTTCGAATTTAGGGAGAACATTAGGGAGGTTAGATTAGACAGGACCGGAGAGGAATTTAGCCTTATGAGGTTAACACCACTGCTCTTAAGAAAGGTGCTATCCGACCTTTAATGACCAAATAGTCCTTATTTGGTTGTTATAATTCATTTACATCTCATCTAAAGGATTGCATCTCCTATAGCACAATATACCTGCTCACTATACTGTGGCAGTAGTTTGGGAAAAATGGGTCAAGAATGAGGAGCGCCCCCTACTGGTCGAGCAACGCCAATTGCAGAAGTAACCTTCATTTCCACAAATGTCTTCCATCCTCATTATTTTTACATTTTGACTTAGTCTCTTTTACAAGGGGGAAAAAATAAAATGTCATTTAATTTTAGTTATCATTTCATATCTGTAGTCATCATTAAAGTTAATTCGTTTAATTTATATTCCTTAATAGACGTGTCGTGCTCAGTGGTCAGTTTCATAAGTCTGCTGACATGCAATTTTATGCAGATTTGCCTCCCATGGAATGAGTTAAATTCTGGATGTTACTGATTTGTTAAATAACTGATACGTTGCGATTTTGAGTTTAATTTTCCCAGCCCTGAGCAGGAGCAACAAGAACAATGCAAGCGTTCGTTGCCGATTCTGTCAGTGTGGGGTCAACAGAGCTCAGCTTACAGTGAAAGCAAGTGCCTCTGCTACAGCCGTAGGGGAACTCCTCAATTTTAGTGCTTAATGCGAACCCCAAGATTTTAATCAAAATCAGCATGAGAATATGTATTGAAAACAGATTATGCTCACTCTTCTCTTTTTTTTGCAATCCGTCATGTGTAAAGTAGTGCTGTGGTACTCTGCAAGTATAATCTCTGTTTGTCAACCTAAAGTGAATTTAAATGAATTGTTACTATGTGCAACTCAAAATTTCTTATTGTTTTTAAGTTTCTTAATTTTTCGGTCCAAATGGAAATAAAATGAAATGCATTTATTTCAGCCCACTCAGTGCATGATTTTTTAATATGTGTTTTTATTAAAAAGCAGCTCATATTTAAAACCATTATGTTTTACATTTTGAAACTTATTACCTTGCCATTCAAAAACACTCCAGTTTTGAGATGGGGCCGATTAGTTTTGTCGCTGGCTTGGCCGTTTTATTCAAGTTTTTTTTTTATTTCCCTTGAATCGAATTATACTTCAGTGAAGAAGGAAATAGGTTCCATGAAAGTAATCACGTACCGGCCTGATAAAAACATCAAAGATTTGGGGAGGAAAAAAAAACGTCTTCTCGTTTAAGGCGGATAAATCTTGCCCCACGCTTGTGTGAGTGAACACGTGGCAGTCAGGCAGCAGCACAGCGGTTTGAGAGCCGTTTTGCAGAATCTCGTTTTTACTTCCTAATGTGTGGCGTGTGAATACACGTGGGCCCTTTCTTTGCGTGGGGTTTTGCAGAGTACTACTGGGGAATACCCCTGTGGCCGCTGTAACATACCGGTCATCAGTGGAGAAACTCTCCTCTTTCTTTTTACTTCACAGAATAACTTTGTGCATAGCAGTAGGTTTCCATTCATTCAGAAGACCCTTGATAGTGGCGTCATTAGGTGATTTTCATTCCTGCCGTAGAGAAGGACTTGCTGGGGACTGTAAGCCATGTTGCAAGTCTGCGTTGCTGGGGGAATGGCGTTATTTCTCTTCAGCGCCGTGCTCTGTTGCCCTTCACACTGCGGAGTTGGTGGTAGGTGATGAAGAATCTGGGGAGCACCCAGCTTCCCGTTGACTGACAACTCCAGGGTTCCTGCCTGGTAGCAAAAAAAACTCTCTTCTCTCATGAACCCTCTTTTGCAGTGTGCTTTCTGCACGAGGGCCAGCTGTTCCTTCCAGTAATCTCCTTCCCCTTGTCTCGATCCTGTTTCAGGGGCCGGAAGAGGAGGTGGTGGCCTGCCTGGATTCTGGCGAGAGCGAGGAGGAGGAGTTCGACCCCGGCACCCTGCCTGACCCGGACAGAAGCAGGGATTCCGAGCTGGAGCAGGACAGCGCCTCCGAACCAGAGCAGAGGTTTGGATCGGGATTGCAGCTTTTAATATTTAGATCTGTTTCCGATCTTAGGCTGCACTCGCTGAGAAAAGAAGCACGTACGTGAAATGGCTTTAATGCAGTTACTGTTCCGATTCTCCTGGGCCCCCTCCCTCCAGACATGCAGCCTCACCAGCTCACTGTCCCAGGGCCTTCCTGCAGGCAGAGCTGGGGGCGCTCGTGCCAGAATGGGCTTGGAGAGCAGTCCCGGTGATTTATAGCTGGTTCCCTCCTTGCTGCCAGAGCAGGCATGCTGCTGTGTTGCAGTATCTGGAGAGCTTGCCGTAAATCTGAGGCAGGTCCAGTTACTGAACAGCCCTGTCGCAAGTGTCATCTGCAGCATATTTAACAACTTTGTGATGTGTGAGCAGTGAGAGTTCTCTCCTTGTCATGTGTACATGACACACTGTACTACAGTTTCCTCTTTTGTGTCTTCAACATCCCTTTATTTTCTCTCTGGCTTCCAGTCCTGTGCTAGTAGATCAGACATCATTGAAATGTTGTTTTTTCGGTGACTGTTTTCCAGTACGTGATGCAGATACTAGTTACAGAGCCATGCAGAGTTCGTGTGTCCCATCCCAGACTCTTTGCTTTTGTTACCAGAACTTTCGATTATGGACAGCACTTCTCACACAGTGTGAAAAAATAATTACTGCAGCAAATAATTTGTCACTTAATTGCTTGGAGGAAACTAATTATACAGCCAGTTAATTAGTCTATTTTGAGTCTCAATGAGCCTATAAATGAGACTGCATTGAAGCAAGAGTCACATATGAACTTGAGAAAAGGTGAAATGTTCTTCAATGTCTTTTGTTTAAACAGACCATCGGCCATGACTGGTAAATTGTGTGGGTTTTAAACTTTTGGACTGAATTCGAAACAAACATTCTTCTTTGTCAAAGCCACAGCACTTTGCAGTTACAAATCACTATACAAGATAGAAATTGATAAGTATTGATTTTCTCAATGATGAGGTCAAATGTGCAGCTATGAACCCGTCCAGGTGTGGGCATGCACAGGGTACATGTGGAAAGAGATGTTTCAGTGGTCCAGATGTTCCAGAGGTTCAGACAGGATTTGTTGCTCTAAAACTGGGGTGTCCTGTTCTGGTTCTGGAGAGCAGGTTTTCCAGGCCTTTTTCAAGCAGCAGCACATGATGGGCTGGGAGAAACATGAGACTGGTCCAGTTAGGCCCGAGATGGGCTGACTAAGGTCATGAAGAGCTGAGCTGTAAGGAAACCCTCCAGACACATATGCCCTCCAGGACCTCCCTGCTGTGTGACTTGTTTTTTATTCAACCATTGGTTTAGTTTTTCCTAATGGGATTAAATGCAGAGGTGCTCTGCAGGGAGCTGTAGTCTCCAGACAGATGACGGTTTTCAAACATTTAACAAAAGTGCCTGTGAGAAAGATTAAAAACGAAAAAAAAGAAAGATCAGTAGTAGGAAGGAAGTAGAGGGAGATCCCCTACTTGTTTGTTGTTTTTATAATTAACTGGCTATAAAACTGCATAGTTCAACAAGTATTATCGGCCAACGAAAGCTTGCAATTGTATTCCAGGTATGCAAATTAAAAGCATCACCTGCTTCAGTTAGCTGTTTTAAAACACAGGCTAGATGATCTTAATCCATTTAACATCCCAAATGTCATATAATTCAAATTTATCAGATGGGTGGAGCTTCTCAGATCATCAGGGTAACATACTGTTAACCTGTCTCTAAAGAAATAAACTGAGGAGCCATAACGAATAAGAGTGTGGTACTTTGCACTGATGACGAAGATTAAAACATTTCTTTCATGTCAAGAACTGAGACATCCTACTCAAGATTTACAGGTCCCTGTTGGAACAAAGATAAATTTGGACCACCCACACACTTCCAGTTCGATGAAAACAGGATCACCAATATATACTGGCAAGCTGACGCTACAGTAGGTATCGGGTGTATTTCCCAGCAGGCAAGAATATCTTCTCTCCCATTTGCCTTGCATTTGAATTGCTCTGTGTTTGGCCAAAATGTCTCGTTGTCTGTGTCCAGCCCTAGTGTTCGGAAGGGGGTTTGCCCGTTGTTAATGTACTCCCATGGCCAGGTGTTACTGATGTGTGTTGCTCTGCTCCTCACGGCCGCCAGTCACATGTGGCTCCTTCCTCTTTGGTGGCCAGAAACAGGAAGACAGAGGATCCGCGCTGGGATTGGTTGTCTTAACACCTTAGAAAAGACTCCACAGATGACAGAGTTGAGCCGTGCAGTGACTGTCGCAGGGGGAGTGATGGTGCCCGTGTCACCCTGGTGCTTCTGTCTTTCTGCATAGTAGAAAAAAAAAGAGTACTGTGGTGGTAAGAGATCGTTCTGTTATGCGCCGCCACACTGGCACAGAACTTGCAGAAACAAAACAAATCCATCCTGGATAAGGTGTGCTAACATAACAGTGGTGTTTCTTTCTGCATGTTCCACGAAAAGTTTTATCGAGGAGGGAAGTATTGCGCACAAATCTGAAAGCTTTGTCTCTCCTCAGAAGCTGTCTTTGGTCTTGCTTATTTAAAGTCTGCAGTTTTTTTCTGAAAGGAGAAATAATGAATCTCATGATTCTTGAAATACCAGGCAGAGGATAAGGTCTGTCTCCCTCAGTAAGGCAGCTATCAAGCTGTTGTAAAGAGACAAAGTGGTGCTGTAAACAAATAATTGGACTTGAGGCCACTGAGAAAAGAAATCTCAGCAGCGTTTGGAAAGTACGATGTTTGCTGCCTCTTGTAATTGTCTGCTAGTTAACGTCTGTATGCCTTCCACTCACTCATATCTGGAAATCTAAAGCCAGATTGTGGATGTAACCCTTATCTCAACAGATCTTGTCTTATTAAACTGAACGTCTGCCTCCATCCATTTAGTCATGAGGTGGAATGATTCTCCAGAAACTTTGCATTTGTATAGCAGAGTGTTTCTACTGTACCTGCTTGAATGAAAGTAAGTTTGATTCGCAATCCCATTTTAATGATGTTTTAATGATCCTTGAAAAGGCAAAAAAAAATCTTGGTGAATTGCATAAGGGGTTTGTATTCTCCACGTAGCCGGTAAGGATCATTTCACTTTAATGAGCTGCCTCAACTGCACACAATGTCAAAGACAGCTGGAGTTCAGAGTTTGACCTCTGCTGCACAGAATGTATTTTAAACACTAGAGCTCTTACTGGTACTTTCATACTGCTGCAGCTGTCGCTGAATCAGTGGGTACAGGATTGTGCTACAGGGAGAAGACACTGTTGAGTCTGCTGTTCAGAGCTGCCTCAAGGGTCTTCTGGCCTTAATGAGCAGCAGAGCCCTGAGAAAAGCTGTGTCTCTCCTGCATGCAGTTGCGTAGGGACCTGTTCGCCCTCAGCACTTTGTTCTGTATCCTTTATGGCCCAACAGTTTGCCTCCATGTTATTTTTGTTTGACTGGATTAACAGCAGGAGTTAATAGCGAACCATAGACTAGGCATGTTTAATTCATTCGCTACCCAGACTCCAGTGTGTGAATTTGGATCAAGCCCTCCAGTTGTAAATGAATTAATGCATGTGACAGGGGATGTGTCCATTACGAGTGAATTACCAGAGCTTTCTTTTTCTGAACCTCCTTGCCGTATCCAACAAAATGTTTTGGGTTGCATAGTGTTTCAGAAGTAAAGTGTTTCAATATGAGTGTCCTTTTACTGTGTTTACCGGTTCTTTCTCCTTCCCTGTTTAATGCATTGATTTGTGTTTTTATGGCCCTCTCTGAATTAGATACCTAAGGGACATTTTTCACGATTAATGAACATGCTTTATCAAATGTATTCTGGTCCTTGAATTCTAGTATGTTCACGATAATTCTGGTATTACACAAATCTGATTGATGCCAGTTTATTTTTCTTATTGTCATGAATAATTGAATTACTCCAGGCAGATCCTCATTGTTGCTTTGATACCCTCAGGTTATTTTGACCTTAATGTGAAATTAAGTTGCATTCCATTTTCACTTAGAAAATCTTAGAATCCTAAAAGGGATTTTCCGCTGATTTAAGTTGAAGGAAATTATAAGCCCTCTCGTGCTCAGCTTTGTTGCGATTGCAGGCTGTTTATCATGGTGAGCATTGTTCTGGGGCTTTTTGGCAAGGTGAGTTCTTGGACTGTTCTGCTGTTTTGTCAGTCTAGAGATTTTAATAATGATTGTGAAGTAAGCAGAACTAGCTGTATTGGTGTCACAATATTCATGATAGTGGAGTGCAAGAGATTTTTTTGTTAAGAGCATGAAGGACACCACCCTTGGAGCACATCGGTCTGACCCACAAGAATTGGTAAAAAGGTTCACTCTTTCCACCTGTGCAGTATGTGTTTTGCATTTCCTGCTGTCTTTTTGCTGAACCTCGGATCTCAGTCACCTTGCAGCTGTGTAATTTTCCACTTGTGTCTCCTTCAGCAGAGAGAGAAAGCACAGGTTCTCTAAATCCCTAAATTGCTTGCTTAGAAAACAAACCTTAAACCAATCAATCTTTGTCTAGGGAATACGAGCTTAGCTGGCTTTTTAATTACTTTTAAATCACCACATGTACGAATTTCACTTCAGTGTCTTACTCCTCTGGTCTTGTACTGTTGCATGAATATGAAAACACTGCAAGGTTGGAGGCATACAGTATATTCAGTTCTCTTAGGCTGTTTGTGAAGCAGGTCATGTTTTTTAGTTTCTGTGTCCTGTCACTGGGCGTATAAATTCTAGCAGAGTCCCAACAAGGCTCACAAACTCAAAACGAGGCTCTGTGATTTAAGGCTTTGTGCTGCTCCTGTTCATATTGAAGCCATTTCTTTTTCTGACTGCTGACGCAAAAAGCCCAGCAACAGTAGAATTTGAAAGCAATGTGAACAATTGTTTGCAAATCCCGCAGTAAGACTGCCTTGTCCGACGAGCTGATCGATGAAAGAGTGGAGGCTATTCGAGATGTGAATGACCTGGAATGGCAGTGTGGTGGTAATTTTCTCTGTATGGCCTGTAAACCCTCCTCCGTGATTGTTGCATTTTCACAGACGAACTGCACTGCTGCCACACTTTATGAGGTGTGAGGATGAGCAGACTGAAGTGTCTGGGATTGACTGCGCATCATATGAGGACCCAGTACATCTGCTAGGCCATTAATTGGTCAGCAGAAGAGTGCAAATAATTGATCTGCAGTTAGCAGGTCATAGGGTGTCCCTTAACTGCACCGTCTAATTTGAGGGCTAAAACTGAGCCATAACTTCACTTCAATTCAAATCATTCGCCTCAGACAGGAAAGACCCCACGTATGACCAGCCTTGTTAAACACAATCATGATTTTTTGGGGGGATTGTTTTCTTTCCCCAGCAGAACACCAGCCAGGAAGAGGCCGCAGAAGAGAAAGTGCAGCAGCAGCAGCAGCGAAGCTGGCGGGGGTGAAGCCCGGCTGGGCTGGAAGAAGCCCAAGAGCCGTGGTGACCTGGGTGTGCTGAAGCCGCTGGACACCGGCCTGACCCTGGGGGAGGACGAGCAGCTGGTGCTCCACTTGCTGAGCAGCCGTAGCTAATCGCCGGCTCCCAGGGCTGCCTGCTGGGTCACTCGCGGTATCTGTTGCAAGTATTTGGATCAACGTTGGCTTGACAGCAGGAGAGGAGAGCTCTGCTGGGGTCCTCTCAGGATGGCTGGAGACTGCCAGGCTGCTGGAAAAAAGTTTGCTATCCCATCATATCCCATATAGCACTCAAACCAGCTTCAAAATGCACAGATAAGGATACACAGTGTTTGTTTTTGCAGTCTGTTATCCTTTTTTGGTAAAAAAAAATCCTTTAAGAGTTGTGGTTAACTTGAGGCCGTTTTTTTTTGTACTGCAGAGCGAGGGCAGCAGTTATGCGTACACACAAAGTTGGCAGAAGCCGGAAACAGATGAAGTCTCATCTCGAGATCTGTCTCCTTCCAATCTGATTCTGCTTTCTGCAGCCTCGGGTTTAAAAGACAGATAACACCAAATGGTGCATCTCTTTAGAAATGAGCTTTTTTATGTGCCCATTTAGTAAAACTTAAGAAATATCCAGCCTATTATTCAGAAACCTGTTGTCTGTCCCATTAGACATGGCTGGGTGGTCCTGGAGTTGCAGAACATTGTTCTGTCATCCAGCCAGGCTGTCCCTGTCTGTTTTGAGAAACAGTGCAACACTGCAATAAAAACAATACTTCCCAAACTCTGAGAAAAGCAACAGAAAGTTATTAAAGTGGAAAAGAAAAAGAATGACAAAATATGTATTTGGAATGGTTCATTTCTCAGATTAAATTTTTATAGTACATTGTTCTTTGTATGTCAGGTATCATTCTCATCAATAAAAATGTACAATAATCTTCTGCCTGTATTAAGTTTCTTGTGAGAGTTTGAAAATTCTGTGTCGTCTTCTACATGCTTTGTGGATTTTGCAGTTGATCGTTTTGTGCACTGTATGTTTTTCACAGGCTGTAGGCAAAAGGTTTGCAAAGCCTTTTTAATGCCTTGTTTTGCTCTGTGATAAAAAAACTGCAGTGCCATCTCTGTCTCTGCCTATTTATTTAACGAATATTGCATACTGAATCAGTTAAGGATTCCTGGAAAGTGTGTTTTATGAGTTTATCGGTTACAGACTCATTCATTGGGAACAAGAGCCAATTCTCTGACTGTGCTTTTCAACAGTGGGTTAGACTGGTGAACTCAGTGTAAACTTCTGTGAATGGGAGTATTTAAGACAGACGTCTTTTAGTTTAGAAGTACCTCACTGTACCTCACTAGATGATCTTAGAACCGAATTATTAATTGAGATTTCAGATTAATCACCAAGCCTGAGACATAAACAAGTTTTTAAAATCAGAAAAATAACTCGTGTTGCTTTAATTTCCACTCCTCTAACATCTCCCAGGCAAAGCGGACTTATTTCATGAGCTCATTTCTTTTTTTTTTATGTCGTTTGCAAGCAGCTCAATTTCCAATGCTGCAAAATGGAAAAGAAAAGAATATTCGTGTAAGCAAATTAAGGAGACCTTCTGAGTTCGGCAGTGCGGTTTATAATAGGACACTGGGGTGAAGGGCTGACAGGCTGACAGATGTGCATTATGCAGAAATACGGGTCTCCTGGCCCAGGGGAGCCAAAAGGTCCTTTGTTCTGCATCCCTGCAGGAGCCCGGCTTGGATACCTGCGTCTGCATTTGGCATACAGCCACCTCAGAGGACTTTTAAAACCCAGTTTCACATAGTAATAAAAATGAGCAAAACTCTCTTGCTGAAAAAATAGAATAATAATGATGATAAAATATTTCTAGCATCTGTTCCGGTATGTCCCCTCTTAAATCTTTTTAAACGTTTAATGTTACGGCTTTTTTTTCCCCATCTGGGAAGATAGTCCTAATTATGTGCATTGCAAACTCAGGAGTTATGTTTCATTGAGACGTGAAAAGGGCTTCTGGAGACTTTTGTTAAATTTGGGCCAATTAATGACTTAAATCTTGCCATAGCTGATCCAGACTTATTTTTTCATGCGAGAGCTGTGTGTTTGTGTGTGTTTGTGTCTTTTTGTCTTTGAGAGATGCTGTACGCTTGGTTTTTGAAAGGTTGACTGTCATGGGAGGGGAAAGTTCAAACATCAGTTTGGAAGAATGTGATCTGGTTGGTGTGATTCATATCATATCTTGTTTTTGTTACGTTGGCTTGGCATCCTGCTTGTAGAGGGTTTCAGTACTGTACTTTCAGGACTTGCTCTTGTTTAATTATGGTGCTGTTTTTTTGGCTCTTACTGGCTCTTACTTTTTTGGCTCTTTCTCTTCCCCTTGCCTTTGTTGTCCCCCTGCATTGCTAAAGCTGTACCTCTGAATCTCTGTTGACACTTGAGAAAATGTTCTTGCATTTTTTTTATGCCTGATTTTCTTGACATGCCCATCTATCTTTTTGATCTTGCAGGCAGATGTAGAAAGCTGTTTCTTTTCATAGTTCTTTATTTTGGCTCACCATAAGACAGGTTCAATTTCTTAAACTCACTCTAACACCTACAGTATTATAGATGGCCATTTCTGTGCCATTGGCAAAATTAGCAAAAAGCCTTCCAGTCTGACAAAAACCAGTCAATAGTGCTGTCTGGTACAAGCAGCGTGGATGTGCTTTGTACAACCTGAAACATGACTTCGGACATATCAATTTATGTTTAAAAGATCATCATTAAAAAATAAAAAGGTTTTTAAAACCACATTTTCATGGTCAGAGCAGCGGTCAGGGCTCTGGACTTGTAACTGGAAGGTTGTGCGTTGAAATCCCAGGTGAGACGCTGCTGTTGTGCCCTTGAGCAATGTGATTCACCTCAACTATTCCAGTAAGAAAATCCAGCTGTCTAAATAGCAACAAATGTAAGTTGCTTTGGCTTTAACTGTAGCTCCAACATGCAGCTTTATGGCATCTCAGTAAAGCACATTGGATTATTGGGGAGCACATGGGGGGCAGGTGAACACGGGTACCTGCTCAGCAATCCCATGTTCCTGACAAGGTGAACATCTGGAGTCAGGCAAGGGACTTCCAAGGGGACAGACAGCTATCCTGCTACAGTTTGTCTGGCGCCTCCTTCAGGCTTGTTCTGTTGCCAGGGGTTCGAGACTGCGGATGAGGTGATGTAGCCCTGAGGGCCACTGGGACACACGAGTAGAGTACAAAGAGATAAGCCACATGTTAGTTGAACCTGAATAACAAAGATGTGCAGGCGTTTCCAGTTGTCTTGAATGTGTAGCCTTTTTTAAAAATCAATGTATTCCGTCTATAGTCTAGCACCAAAATGTTGGGAACTAGGTCAATGAGAAGATTATAAGAACCTCTAAAATAATTTAAGTGTCTTGCCAAATCTTGTTTTTATTTAAAATGTGACAAGAATGGGCATGTACAAACAGTTCTTAACAGACCCAGTGCAGTTCTGAAGAATGGGTTTGAAATGTTGATTCACTGGAGAGCGTGAGATGAAGGCTGTGTAGACGAACAACCAGTATGTTCTTGGTGCTGTTTGAGTTTCTGTCTCGTGTAAGGGGAGGGACAGGGCATTTTCATCTTGTATTATTCCATATACCTCATAGGATTTAAACAGTGGATAACAATGGCTTTTTTAACAAATAAAAGCTCTGGAGGTCTTCCCAGATCAAAGCCTTCAATTTCATGCAATTATTTTCTGCTCTGACATTAAATTACTGTGTTGGTCTCTGTGCCGGTGCACTCGGAGGTCAAGCAATCCAATTTGCTTTCAACAGCAGGTATCAATGCATACTGTAACAGTAACACCATCTCAGAGTTGAGTGTTCATGTGGTTTTCAGCATCTGTATTCAGCCAGCGATCTAAATGACATGGGGAGAAATGAGGCACACCCAAGGAAGAGCACTCTCTTCAGCTTCAAATGAAAATATAGCAGAGTAGGTGTGTCCTGGGAGGGAGTTTGTTATGCTCAAATGCTTCGAATTAGCTTATGTGCTGGCATCTCACAGAGCATTTTTCCTAATGGTTTGGCTTTTTGGTCTCCCTTGTTCAGAAGTGATTAGGTGCGGTGTAGGCATCAACATTTCCAATTGAACACAACTGGGAACAGCTTACAACTGCTACAATTAGGCTAACAAGTACATTTCATCCTCAGTGAAGCACTACTGTGAAATGAGCATCTCTGCTGCTTTTGTGGAATTATCAGGAGTCTAAGCGTTCCAAGACTAAGGCTCCTCTATTCTCTCTTAAACCCCTTATTTGTCTTTTTCCATTTTTAAAGAATTCTTTCTTCAATGCGCCATTGGCATAAGCAAAGTAACCATTTACAGTACACCCCTCTTGACTGACTCCGTTCTGTCAGAAAGTGTGCTTTTATAAAGAGGATCATTACACTGTCGTGATTTCAGTGATGTTCTAACAATGCACAAAGCAGACATGGGGAAATGCCATTTTGTTTTCTTCATTGTGTTCAGAAACTAGATGGATGATTCCCACATCTGCTTTGTTCTGGCTTCTTTCAAAATGCTCCATTTTCAGGAGCGCTTCTGTCTTGTGGGAAGCCTCTTTTAGTACATCTCATACCTGCTAATCTAGTAACCAACTGAGAAAAGTTACCGTGCAAATAGGAAAGATTAAATTGAACAGTTTAGAAATGTCCTAGCGCTTTTATTCATTTGTTAATCTTATGCATGGTTACAGCACTTACTTGACTGCACTGACAGTAATTTGAAGTGCTTGCAGATATGATGACAGTTCACAGGTATTTACCCCCGTAGTTCACATATTGGAATATATCCTACGGCAGCGATAAAGAAAATGATTTTCTTTTGCTACAAGATCATGGTGGTGTATTGCACATAACCTTCTTGTCTTTTGCTAGTTTTGATGCTGATCAAGGACAGAACCTAAAGACAGATTAGCATACTGCTGCCTCTAATCCTCTGCCTGCCCTTTCCCTTGTGTGTCCAGACGGTTGTGATTTATGTACCTGCAACCCAATACATTAAGCAGATGACTGCCCATGGTCCTGTACGAATGCTGAAGAATTATTGTGCAGAGTTCAAAACGGTGAATGCATTTACGCATACCAAGAGATGTGGGTAGCTCCAGAATTGGAATTTCTGAGTCCATCCTGACCCTGTAGAGTCTTAAAGAAGATACATTTGTTATTCCAAATGCATGAAATGTGTTTCACTTCTTCGACCAATGCAGTGTGCACTGATGGTTGTGCTCCACTGTGACTGGGCACCTCATCCTCTCGGTTCTTCTTCAGAGCAGTCCTGCTGAGCAGGCAGCTCCCTGCTGGGATTTGTCCTGTGGACCGATTACTTGGGGTTTGTGACGAAACCTTAGACATTAGACTGCTTTTGTAGCCTTTTTTTACACCCTTGCCATGTAACTTTTATTTATTTTAATCTCAGAAGGTATTGACTTTCTATGCTACCTTATTCCAAGTAAGAGTTTTTGGGGCAGTAAAACTCTTAGTCATGTGGACCCAGGGTAGCAGAACCTCCAAAGAAGGTGTTTCTTTTCAGCTGAAGCTCTTGCTGTTGGAGCCTTCAGTGTGGTGGTTTGCGGGCAGCCCGCTGACCGGTCCTCTCACAGGGTGCTCTCAAGAGCGGGTCTGGAAAGGAAGGGTGACCATGGTGCTGAGCTGTTCTGGGAAGCAGACCTGCAAGTGGTCTGACGAGAGTGTCACATACATCTTTTACCCCGGTTTCACGGTGTTCATCTGTCATATCCTGCCCGCACGCGAGCACATGGAAGTGTGTTCGCCTGTCTCTGCGTTCATATATTAACATACTGTGGAACTTTCATGTTTTTTTAAGCAAAGCTTTGAAATTCCGAACACAAAATTTTCCAGGAGCTGTGTATTTTCTGATACT